TAGAGCTGTTTACATATACAGACATAGCTGACTTTGTAGCACAGAAATACAAATAAATAACTTCAGCCAGTGCTGCTGCTTTTATGTGTGTATGACTAATAGTCTTCAAATATGAACTTTTTATTTCATGGAAAGAATTTGCACACACTGCAATATAGATAAGAGGGGAAAAGTGCTCCAGTGTAAGATTTGGTGGTTGCTATGATGTAGCTTTTCATAATTCTAGGCACATAGAAAAGCCGTTTTTGCAGTATGTAGAAGAGTCATGGCTTTAAAATACAGACCAACATTAAAGGATTTTGAAATGAGCAGAAAGTGTCCATATTTCTTTTGTGAATAAGTCCTTTATTTTGGTATCCATAGGGATGGCTATTCTCTTCTCCAGATCCTTTCTCCACAGTAGAAATCAGCAGGGACATGGGGACTTATCTGAATGTTAAGAGGCTGAAAAGCTTTAGAAGAGTCATTGCAATTTGTTATAGAATGCATGCAGAATAGAAGCACAGATCTGGAGTTGTTGTGGCTCACTATCACAAAAGGGAGATTATAAGGTTTCTTACAAATTTTCAACCCCCAGAACTGAGGAAGTTTCAAAACTGTTCCCAATTTTTGCTCCTCAACCAGATGTGGTGGCGTAGGCAAGCAAGCCTCATTTTTAGTAATTCACTGGCTTGGTCAGGAAATTTTTGACTAAACGTTTTTCATTAGAAAATTTGGATTAATCTAAACCAAAAGTTTTTGGAGGAACATATCAGTTTTAACTAAACTGTAATTGGAAAAGGTTTCTCGGGTCCAGCATGGAATTTTGGGGGGGGTCGGAGGGAGAAGGAGAGAGCTTCATCCCAGAATAGCTTGGTGGTCAGGGAACTCACCTGGATCTAGTCCCTGATCTGAAACAGATGGATCAGGGATTTGAACCCCTGCCTGATTCAAACCAGGAACTTGAACCTGAATCTCCCACATCCTAGTCAAGCATCCTGACCTCCAGTCTACTGGCTATTCTGAGGTGGAGTTCTCTCTCTCTCGCTCTCTCTCTGTCACTCTGAATTTTTTCATCAATTTTTTTTTGAAAGATCTCAAGTTCATCCTGATGCAGCATTGGATATTTTTTTAAAACACAAAAATGTTCATGAGTTGGGAAAACCGTTTCCCACCAAGCTGTATCACATCTGCCCTTCTCACAATCTCTGAGTTCCTATACAGAAATTTAAAGCATTATGCTTACCATAAACCTGCAGCTGCAACTGTGGTAGCTCCGTGATACTCTCAGCACTAGAATTCATGGTGCTAACTTGCAAGAGCTTGATACTTTCATAAAAGTGGTAATGAGACCTGATGGCATGGTGGCTAGCAAGCACATGCCTCTAGTGCACAACGCTAAGCTACTTAGCATGGTGTTAAAATGTATCTCAGAGCCATGGAGCCATCTCTGCTAGTGCTTCCAATGTTGCTAACGCTGCCGCAGATACACTAGTGATAACGGTGTTAGGAATTTTCATAAACATTCCCTAGTGTGGGTACAACCTTGTAGAGGAAAAAGTGGAGCCACTGAAGTGCAGTCTCATCCAGTCCAGTCAACAGCTGCAGGCAAGTCGCTATTGTTGTGGTCAGTGGTATCGATGACTGCTGACAGATGTAAAAGGAAAAAAAGTCAGCATGGATTGCTGACTTCTGCTCACAGCTAGATCATCATCTGTCTAATGATACTAATTCATTTTCCATGCTATACTTCAGCTGAAAGGTGCATTGAAAAGGGTCAAGGAAGTCAGGCCAGATGGTACAAAAGTAATTTTGTTGCAAGCTTTTCTACCACATAAAGCAAAGCTTAGGAACAGAGTGGTAGTTGGGAAGATTGTCAACTTGAGGCATGGTTTCTTGAGTATTAATTTAATAACTGCTCATTTAAGGGAAGCAAGCATTTGAACACTGTCCTAAGCTAGGAGCAATTTCAACTAATAATGGGCATCCCGCCCTCTCTCCTCTCCCATACACATGAATTTGATTTTACCCATCATGAAGATCATGTGTTCATGTCAGAGGTTGAAGGCCAAACCTTCCAACCCTCCAGAACATTAGTGGACAAATCTAAATGAAACTCAGCAAGAGAAGATGTAGCATTTTTCCCTTTCTGACACAATTCTAATACCACGGATGCAAATAGTGCTATCAATCATGCTATTGATCCATAAAGTGGAAAAAACTCTCATAGTGGGAAGAAATGCTGAAAGCTGTTTTTGAGTAAAAGTTGACTGAATTCATGGATTTACCAGGTTTCCCACTGCCAAGCACAGTTCTGCTAATCAGGACTTCACAGACATCCTACAATTGAACAAAATGCTTTTTGGCAGCCACAGCGTAGGGAATCAAAAGCCTTCTAATTCACAATCAAACAGATTTGGGCACAATGACCGCCACTTTGACATTGGCCCCATATATCTCATCTGTTGTAGATCATGTGCATACCAATGTGACCTGTGAGGACGTCATATAGAAAACAGATTTTTGGCCAACTCTGTCAGGACATGTATCAGTCTTAGTATTATTCGTATACTAACAGAGTATCTGTATTACAATAGCTCTCAGAGACCCCAGTCAGGCTTGGGGCATCATTGTGCTAGGCACTGTGCAAACACAGTAAGAGAAAGCTGCTGCCTTGAATCTAGTTGAAGCCGAGACATACAGAAAAAGGACACTTGTGTGCTATACATGCATTTTCTTGTTATTTGCAGCCCTGCAACTAATATAATTAATCTATAGCTGGGCTTTGGTGTGCAAGAATTCAGCGAACAAACTTTACCACTTTTATTTAGTTTCCACTCTGCATTAGTAGGTTATAGGTATACTCTACCAGATGTTTTTCAGTGATGACATGTAAGTGGACTAGAATATAAATGGACCTGTTTGGTGCTATTCCATTTAGCATTGTAGGCATCTCCCTGAACACTTGAGACCGTTGGGAACATTTAGTGAAACTCCTGGGTCATGTATTGTACAGTGAGCTTGGTCATAGCATAGAATCTGTGGAGATAATTGACAAAAATGATATAACTGGCAGAACCATACAGTTAGTACCCTCAAAGGAAAACACAATTTCTTATCAAATGACGTGTGTTGGAGAAAAATTGTCGATTGTCGTTTGCCTCATATAGGCAAAGGAAACCCAGACTTGCTGAAGAAAACAGGTCTTACGATTACATTCTTTTGAGATCACCACTTTCTCTTAGTGTGTTTTTATTTTGGTGCCTGAGAGGAATCCCACAGAAATTCCAAGTGATTAATACTATACAAGCTAACTAGAGTTGTGTCAGAAGTGAATTACTCCATCTGAATCAAGTAGCCAGTTATTCCATTGGTTCCATTTTTGAAAATCATGGCTTAAGTCAGTTGGAGTTGCTGGGTGCCCAGCACTTCTGATGAGGCCACGTATCAGGGCCGGCTCTAGGGTTTTGGCCGCCCCAAGCAGCCAAACAAACAAAACAAAACAAAACAAAACAAAAAAAGCCACAATCACGATCTGCGGTGGCAATTCGGCGGGAGGTCCTTCGCTCGGAGCAGAAGTGAGGGACCATCCGCCGAATTGCCGCCGAGCAACTGGACGTGCCGCCCCTCTCCGAAGTGGCCACCCCAAGCACCTGCTTAGTAAGCTGGTGCATGGAGCAGGCCCTGCCACTTATTTAGGTACCTAAGTTAGTCTTAGAAGGCTAACTTTTGGCTTCCAAGTTTCAAAATCTTGGTCTTAGGAAGCAACAGATTGCCTTAATTACATACAAAGTTCTAGTACTGTCACATCAGAATATACCAGTCACTTTGCTACATGTGATCTGACTTGATGTAAGTAGGTGTGGCATAAAATAAACTAAACTAATGTGACAGTACACAACCAAATAAATCAGATCAATTTGTGGAAAAAAAACACATGGGAGTTGATTCAGACCCACTGGTGCAAACACTGCTTTTCTTTCCTGGGGCTACTGTTGGTGGAGGTCAGTTTTAAGTTACAGCTGGGAATTCGTAGAGTTCTTTCCACATGATACCATTTTTGAGACTGTGCCGGTCAGCTGTGGGCTATCCACAATCACTCTCTGAGAAGACTTTCTGTTGCTACCCCGGCACCCTTGCTTACGGTTTATTATCATAAAAGGGGCTGATATGGCTTGCATCATCTTCTTGGTCTTTTGGGACCTGATCCAAAGCCCACTGAAGTCTCTGCGAGTCTTTCCATTCAGTGGGCTTTGGAACAATCTACTCAAAGTTGGGTTGTTTTTTTCCATTCAGAGCACAGATGCTAAATCCGGGTTCCATGTTAATTTTTGGGAAAAGATGTAGATGTTTACAATGTCTTTTGGCTTGTTGTCCTCACAGTTCTTGCTCTTACACATTCCAGTATGATGGCACTTTCACTATTTATTTGAATGTTTCCCAATAAAGTTTTCCACCCATTCTTATTTGCTTGCAATGAGTTAAGATTCTTTGTACAGACCTTGTCCAATGAGCTCTTTTCTGTAAATGTTTGTATATGTTTATGAAAAATAAATCTTAAAAAAATCTTAATCAAAGAGAAAAAGAGAGCTCTCCAGGCCCTGTAAAATCTTAACTAACTATTCTTCCATAGTGAGTTATTTATAAATCCATGTAAATATTAAACACTTTTAAAACCATAGCCTCATATGTTATTCTATAATACTGTAGATGGCCTTTCAAAATGTATTCAGTACATTTGTTAAAATATATAATCTGCTATTTTGATATGGTAACCAAGCAACTTACTACTGTAATCAGAATGACTTTTAGCTACATTTCCAGTACTTATTTTGACATAAAACCAGACTTGTTCAAGCTAAAACCAAGAAACAGTGTTCAAAAATATTATGCTATAAGGCTTTTGATTTAAAAGAGCCCAGTAGATATAATTTTTAGGAAAGTCCAGGGAGAGTTTTTGTTTTTATTTGATGTAGACTCATTTTAAGCATTCTGAACTGTTGCTCATTTATTCTCTTTAGACTCCTAAGGACCCAGTCCCTGGAATGGTATTACAATAATGTGAAAAGTCGCTTCAAGCGTTTTGGTAGTGCCAAAGTCCTGAAGAATTTATACAGAAAACATAGACTGGAGAGTGGTGCTTGTTCTGAAATAATAGGTACAGTACAGTTTTAATTTCTTATAGGCTCATCCACATTAACTCACATGATGGACCCAATCAGAATTTTTCAGAAGAATTACAGTGGGGGAATATAAGAAGTTAAATATCTAGGGAGTTGGGCTAAGTTTGAGCTATTTAACTAATCAAAATTTAGATAATCTATAAGGCAAAATTCTGCTCTCAGATCTACAAAGCAAATTTCAGCTGTTTCTGTTCTCCATGAACATGCTTAGGGCTCTGAGAGTTCTGTGTAGATAATGAATGAGCACAGAATTTTGGAGTTGAGGTTTTCCATTGCACTTAATGCAAAATTTGACTAAGGCCAGATCCTGCAGCCCATACCACAACTGGAGTTTTGCCTGTTAGCCATAGAATTTGGCCCCATGTGAATTGCAGCTGCGGCTTATATTTGAAGTTTCTCTAGTAAATGGGGAAGAAATGTGATCAATTTAATATCAATATCAGCCTTCTAGAATGAGATGTAATTCTTTCCTAACTATGGAGAGATGATGCATCCCCCTATAAAACTAGTAATTGCAGGTATTCAGTGAGTTTGGGGACAGTGCTTTCTTGCTGTCATGCTGGCACGTTTACTGTAATTGAATAGCAAATGATTCAGAAGCAGAACCAGTCTAATCTTTCTGAGATGATTTGCCTCCACTGGGCCAAATTCATCCCTAGTGTAATTCGACTGAAATCTGTATAGAGTTTGTGTTTTCTATAGGGTTTATGTTTTCTATAAAGTCTGTCTGTCTTTCTTTCTTTCTGGAAGATAAGCTAAGCACTTGGAAAACAAAAATAATAGCAAGGCTGTGTGCACCTGGGTGAAGGCAACTCTAAGTGGCTCTTTTAATACTACTTAGAAGTACATGGCAAGTCTGTAGGTAGAACAGGAGAATGCCATCCTAAAAGATTTCATTTAGATAGGTTGCTTTTTTCTTCATATCAATTTTTAAAAAAACCCTTCAAAAATGGAAATGAAAAAATAAAGGCGGGCATGCTACATTTAGTCGGTGTGATGCAAATGGAACAAAAGAATTAATTTAAATACATGCAGAAAATTTAAAAAGTCAGGAGACTGATCCTGCAAAACCTTACGCATCGAGGCATTCCTTATGCTCAAAAGTAGTCTCATTGAATTATGCCTTTAAATGAGACTGCTCCCATGAGTAATAACATGCAGGATATGTAAGTAAGGATATGCAGGATATAGGAGACCTTTCTGTAGAAGGCCTCAGCGTCTAAATGTCATTGTTAACTTCCTTTTTCTATTTTCAGTATGACTGTAAGATAACCCTCTTGTTTCATTTGAAGATAAATACAAGTTTAAATGTCTGGGTTTGTTTTATTTATACAGTAGTGGCCTTTAAAATCCAGGATCTGTTTCAAGTCCCAAATGTCATGTTAAAAGCAAGTTCACTGCACTAGCTTTCATTTTACAAGTTCTGCATTTAAGTAACTTCATCCTCTCGCTCTCTGTCTGAGAAATCTTTCATATAAAAGAAATAACATTTTGTATAACAGCTGAAATTCAAACAGGAATTTTCAGACTCTCTTCTATACATGTGGTGTAGTTAGAAACACCACTACTTTTTGAAAGACTACTTTAATCTAATAATATATTGAATATTCATATACAATATGTGTTGTGCTGTCTTGTTGAGCAGAAGGAAGCTTTTTTGAAGGAAGCATAGAAAATGAAGGAAGCATTTGTGGCAGTGACTCTACATTCTACAGACAGACAGAAGGTAACTCTACTTAAAATTCATTTGCACTAAAGCTGAGCTGTTACTGAGTTATTTGATAAATAGCCTACAGTGCTGGAGGGTCTCCAAGTCGCATTGGTCCCTGGTGATGAAAAGTTTACAGGATCACTAATCTTTTAGCTAAAACCTTTAGTGAGTTACCAGAGCTTCTGTGGTTCACAGGGCACATGCTAGACTTTATCTGTTTTGCATCATGGCTATTATGCATTCACTTCAATATGGTTTTCTTAATACCGTACACATCATGTTCAGAGTTTGTTCTCTCTCTCTCACACATGATTTTCCCCTAATGCTCATACACACTTGTTTTTCATATAGGTCTCAGTTTTGTTAAATTCTGTTACAAACATTCCTCTCATTATAACTACCCAACTAAAGTATTGTTAGTCTCCCTAAATGGATTTTGTAGAAATATTGTGTTTTTCTATTTAAAATTGTAAGTTACGTATTATTTAAGTTTAGAAAGTTAGTGGCCTCTGTCAATACTGTATTTTTAGGGAAATGTCTGGCAGTTCAGATTACGGGGGTGTGAATAGCAGTGCACACCAAAGTGCTCACTATAACTCCCCTGTGTGAATCCTGCAGGCACGAACAAAAGGTTCCTACTTTGCATTAATGTAGCCCTGTTTGAAGAGGACTAAGTTAATGCAAACTAGGAACATTTTAGTTCACGCCTACAAAGTCCACATGGGCATTTACAGTGCAGCACTTTGGTGAGCACTGCTGTCACGCCCCCATAATCTGAACTGCAGGGCACATAGACATGCCAGAGAGGCAGAATATAGAAATGGGTACAGACCACCCAACATTTTTTCTGTCTATTGAGATGTTTATGCCAATGCTCATCATCATGGTTCTGAGAATCAAGGTGCATGTGCAATGACATAGGGAAAGGTAGGAGAGAGAGGTCATGGAGGTCAAATTTAGGCTGCTTGGTAAGAGATTTAAGTTCAGGACTTCCATGGTAGCCCTCTCTGAAATGTTTCCAATTCCGCGCGCAGGGCCAGTTAGACAGGCGGAACTGTAGAGTATCTTTGCGTGGATAAGAGGATGATGTTTGGAGGAGGGATTTAGGTTTATTAGGAACTGGGGAACCTTTTGGGAAAGGAGGAGCCTTTACAGGAAGGATGGGCTCCAGCTACACCAAAATGGAACCAGATTACTGGCATGTAAAATTAAAAAGGTTATAAAGGAGTTTTTAAACTAAGGCTGGGGGGAAAGTTGACAGGTGCAGAGGAGCACACAGTTCAGACAGACGTCCCTTGGGGATACTCCATAGCCTAGGAAAGAGGAGAGGCTAGAAGTTGATAAAGTACAGGCAGGAAATGAAGAGAAACAGTCAAACAAAAAAGATTCCTATTCAATTACATCACATGAAGTCAGATAACTAAATACTTAAAAAATTTTATCAGTGCTTGTATACAAATGCAAGAAGTCTAAATACTAAGATGGGTGAACTTGAGTGCCTGATATTAAATGAGGATATTTATAGAATAGGCATCACAGAAACTTGCTGGAACTATGAAAAGCAATGGGACACATACAAAATATATACAGTAGCAATGACTGACTGGGGGAGGGGAGGTGGCACTATATGTGAAAAAAGCATAGAGTCAAATATAGTAAAAGTCTGAAATGACTCAAACTGTAACATGGAATCTCCATGGATTGAAATTCCACACTTGAAAAATGAGAGCATAGCAGTAGGAATGTACTACTGACCACCTGACCAGGATGGTGATGGTGACTGTGAAATACTCAGGGAGATTAGACAGGGTACAAAAACAGAAAACTCATTAATAATGGGGGATTTCAACTGTCCCCATATTGACTGGGAACATGTCACCTCAGGATATGATACAGAGATAAAAAGTCTAGACACCATTAATGACTGCTTCTTGGAGCAGCTAGTCCTGGAACCCATAAGGGGAGAGGCAGTTCTTGATTAGGCGTAAGTGGAGCACAGGATCTGGTCCAAGAGGTGAATATAGCTGAACTGTTTGGTAAAAGCGACCATAATGTGATTAAATTTAACATCCTTTTGGAGGAAAAATATCAATGAAACCTATCACAGTAGCATTTAACTTCAGAAACGGGAATTACACAAAAATGAGGAAGCTAGTTAAACAGAAATTAAAAGGAACAGTCACAAGTGAAATGCCTGCAAGCATTCAAAAATTGAAAGTCAAATCCTACTGAGGAAATTAGAATAGAACATATACTATAGCAAGTCAAGTGTAAATGTATAATTAGGCAGGCCAAAAAAGAATTTGAAGAGCAACTAGCAAAAGACAGAAAAACTAACAGCAAATTTTTTTTAAAGTACATCAGAAGCAGGTAGCCTCCCAGTCAGTGGGGCCATTGGACCATTGAGGTTCTAAAGCAGCACTCAGAGAAGGCAAGACCATTGCAGAGAAGCTAAATGAATTCTTTGCATTGGTCTTCACTGCAGAGGATGTGAAGGAGATTGCCACACCTGAGCCATTCTTTGTAGGTGACAAATCCGAGGAACTGTCCCAGACTGAGGTGTCAATAGAGGAGGTTTTGAAACACATTGATAAATTTAATACTAAGAAGTCACTAGGACCAGATGGTATTCACTCAAGAGTTCTGAAGGAATTCAAATACGAAATTGCAAAATTACTGACTGTTGTATTTAACCTATTCCTTAAATCAGCCACTATACCAGATGACTGTAGGATATCTAATGTAATGCTGATTTTTTTTAAAAAAAGGCTCCAGAGGCGATCCTGGCACCTACAGGCCGGTAAGCCTAACTTCAGTACCAGGGAAATTGGTTGAAACTATAATAAAGAACAGAATGATTAGATGCATAAATGAACACAATAGAGTCAACACACCTTTTGTAAAGGGAAATCATGCCCCACCAATCTATTAGAATTCTTTGAGGTGGACAACAAGCACGTGAATAAGAGTGATCTAGTTGATATTGCGTACCTGGACTTTCAGAATGCTTTTGACAATGTACCTCAGCAAAGGCTCTTAAGCAAAGTGAACATTCATGTGATAAGAGGGAAGGTTCTCTCATGGATCAATAACTGGTTAAAGTATAGAAAACAAAGAGTAGGAATAAATGGTCAGTTTTCACGGTGGAGAGAGGTAAATAACCGGACCCCCAAAGATCTATAGTAGGACCAATGCAGATTATCATATTCATAAATAATCTGGAAAAAGGAGTAAACAGTGAGTTGGCAAAGTTTCCAGACAACATAAAATTACTCAAGATAGTTAAGTCCAAAGCAGACTGCAGAGTTACAAAGTGATCTCACAAAACTGGGCAACAACATGGCAGATGAAATTCTATGTTGATAAATGCAAAGTAATGCACATTGGAAAATATAATACCAACTATACATATAAAATTATGGGGTTTAAATTAGCTCTTACCACTCAAGAAAGAGATTTTGGAATCACTGTGGATAGCTCTCTGAAAACATCCATTCAATGTGCAACAGCATGCAAAAAAGCTAACAATGTTAGGAACCATTAGGAAACAAATAGATAATAATACATAAAATGTCATAATGCCACTATATAAATCCATCTTGAATACTGCGTGCTGTTCGGGTTACCTTATCTAAAAAATGTATATTAGAATTGGAAAAAGTACAGAAGAAGGCCACACAAATAATAAGGGGTATGGAACAGCTTCTCTATGAGGAGAGATTAAAAAGACTGGAACTGTTCAGTTTAGAAAAGAGAAGACTAAGAAGGGATATGATAGAGGTCTGTGAAATCAAGTATAGTGTGGAGAAAGTGAATAAGAAAATGTTATTTACCTCTTCTTATAACACAAGAACCAGGGGTCACTCAATGAAATTAATAGGCAGCAGGTTTAAAACAAACATAAGGAAGTACTTCTTCACAGAACATACAGTCAGCCTCTGGAACTCATTGCCAGGGAATTTGGGAAGGCTAAAAGTACAACTGGGTTCAAAAAAGAATTAAAGAAGTTGGTGGAGGATAGATCCATTAATGGCCATTAGCCAACATGGTCAAAGATACAGCTTCACGCTCTGAGTGTCCCTGAACTTCTGACTGCTAGAAGCTGGGAATGGACAATGGGGGATGGCTGTTGATAATTGTCCTGTTCTGTTCATTCCCTCGGAACCATCTGGCACCAGCCACTGTCGGAAGACAGGATTCTGGGCTAGATGGACCATTGGTCTGACCCAGTATGGCCGTTCTTATGTTCCTGTGCATCTTGATCAGCTTGGGATTGAGGTCTGGCTCTGTATCTCTGCAATAGACTATACCAAAATCCTAGATCTAAGAATTACTGAAGCTGAAGAATCTTGGTCTGAATTTTGCAGCTGAGCATAAATGTGGGTATTTTGTTTGCTTTTTGACTAGGACATAGTATGATGGACACCCTAGCTGTGGCCTTACGTGTGGCAGAAGAAGCAGTAGAAGAAGCCATTTCCAAGGCAGAGACATATGGTGAAAGCCTGGTAAAAAATTTTAATAACATTCAGCTGGCTTATATAGATCAGTTTTTTCTTTATTCAAGTAATAGTGGAAAGGTGAGTGAAAATCAAAGAAAATGTAATGCAGTGATGTATTAGCTTACTGCATTAGCTAAAAGAATTGTGTGCTGTTTCTCTGAAAGTTATTATCAAGATAGCACGCATGTTCCACTTCAGAAATACAGGATATTCCAATAAATTAGAGTTATTTACATTCAGTTCTTTCTGCATACAATGCGAAGTAGGATGTTACTCATTTTTATTTTTATATTGATCTTGTACAAATACCACTCAAGTGTGACTCTGTAGTATTTATAAATTGTATCTTTGTGCAGGACAAACAGAACGAGGCTTGTTATTTACGGGAACATAAGGAGGAACTGATTGAAGAGCTTGCCACTACCATAGTGCAGAAGGTATGTGATGCAGCTTTGCTGTTGCGAATTGTATTCTTTGGAATATTAAATGGCTAGAAGGCAGCCCTGTAGTCTATCAAGGTTTGATTTAACTCACGCAAGATGATACAGATCAGAAAAGGATTGAATGTGTATGTGTGGATGACAAGAATATCCAGGAGAGGAACAGCTCAATGGAAAATATCCTGCCTCCTGCTGCAGCAGCTCCTGGGAAATTGGTCAGAAGACTGATTCTCCTGAATAGGTTTTAAAAACCTGGACCACCCCAGACAAATTGGAACTGTTGGCAAGTTTGTCAAAAGCTGCCTGTTGATGAGATCTGTTTCACTATAGAATAATTTCCCAAAGACCATTACAAATCAGACAGGGAAATGTGCATACGTACATTACATAGAGCTGTGCGAGTAATCGAGGAAAAAAATGTTCTGGAGCGATCTGAAATGAAAAATTTTCTTGGCAAAACAAAGCACCAAAAATTTCATTTGGGGTCAAATGAAACATTTTGCTTTGATTTTAGGCACTTTTAACTGCTTTTTAAAATTAAAACAAAGGAAATTTAGAAACGTCATTGGACGAGGACAAGGGAGCGTGTTCTCCTCTATAGCCTTGTGGCTAGAGCATTCACCTGGAAGGTGGTAGACTGGGGTTCAGATACCTAATCTGCCTATATGGGGGCTCCCATATTGCAGATGAGTGCCCTAACCAGTGGGCTATTGGGTAACAGGTCACCTCCTCCTCCTCCTCTTGCTGTTTTACGAATAGCACCTAAGTGCCTTTCTGAAACTAGCCTGAAAAAACCCTTCTGGCTGAATCTCTTTGGCGAATTTGTGTCAAAAATATTGCATTGAGCTCAAGTATTACAGAGAACAATCCTACACTTGCAGGGAGATGGATTAGATAAACTACTCAATCTTTTTTTGTCTGCAGATGAAGTAGATTTTCAAAGGTACATTTTCAAACACTTAGGGGGGAAGTGAAGGTAGCTATAAAAATATATGTAACAAATGAACAAAAGAGGAAATTCACAGTAATGAATATAAACCAAAAGCTAGCAATTACAGACAATTAATAGGGAAAGCAAAAGGACAGAAGGGAAAATCAGTGGCTAGCAGAGTTAAGGACCTAAACAAAGGGATTTTTAAAGTATATTAGGAACAAAAGGAATCCTAACTATGGTATTGGTCCATGACTAAATGAAAATGGTAGAATTGTCAATAAGAATGCAGAATGATAGAATTGTCAATAATGATGCAGAACAGACCAAAGTGTTCAATGAATATTTCTGTTCTGTATTGGGGGGGCGGGGCAGCGGGGGATCAGATGATGTGATCTTATCAGATGATGGTGAAACACTTTCCATTCCATTCCACTCGGGAAGATGTTAAACAGCAGCTACTAAAACTGAGCATTTTTAAATCAGCAGCTCCGGACAATTTACCAAGAGTTTTAAAAGAGGTGGCCGAACAGATAGTTTAGTATTAATGTTGATTTTCAAAACTCATGGAACATTGGGGAAGTTATCGGAGACTAAAAGAAAGCTAATGTTGTGCCAATATTTTAAAATAGTAAACGCAACTATAGTAATTATAATTCTGTTAGCCTCATATCGACCCCAAACAAGATAATGGAGCAGCTGACACAAGCCTTGATTAAAGGAGGTTAAAATAATTAATTCCAATCAATATGGGTTTATAGAAAATAGAACCTGTCAAACTAACTTGAAATCTTTTTTTGGTAAGATTGCAAGTTTGGCTGATAAAGGTGATAGGGTTGATATAATATACTTAGGCTTCTTTAAGGCATTTCGCGTGGTACCATATAACATTTTGATTACAGAACTAGAACAATATATAATTAACATGGCACCTATTAAATGGATTAAAAACTGGCTAACTGATAGGTCTCAACATGTAATTGTAAACGGGGAATCATCATTAAGCAGATGTATTTCTAGTGGAGTCCCGCAGTTCTTGGCCCCATACTAGTTGACATTAGTATTAATGACCTGGAAGAAAACATAGAATCTGTTAGAAGAAGGAGCAGGTTGACCCAGAGGCGGATTGACTAGATGGGATCCTTTATGGCGATACTTGTTCCCCTCGACCCAATTGTCGAGTAAGCACTGGATTAGTTACAGCACGCTCCTTTTATTTAAGTTAGTATGTAAATGCCTACATCTGTACAACACCCGAAAAACGCTTATTAAGTAATAGAAATACCCATACAATTAGTATATCCACCCCTCTCTATTGTTCACAACATTACGCATGTTATACAGGCATTTTTACCTTGAAAATACATTTCTTTGCAATAATTTGTTGCTACAAATTTCTTTAATCAGCAGTTCTCAGGGGAGGGAGGAAGGGGCCATGACCCAGGGCTCTCTTTTGTAGCTGGGAAAGAAGGGAGGGGGAGATAACCCTTCTTTTACACAAAGGGTATTTTTTTAGACAACTACATTTCTTATGCAGCTGCAAGGCTTATCAATTCTCAACAGGGAAGGGAAAAATATGGCAACTTATTTATTAAACAAAGAAATACTGTCTGTCTGTGCCTTTCTTCCCTAATGCCATGTCAGCATACCAGCAGCTTCCCAGGTCTCTACTTAAACATAACATATCCCAACAGAATCATCACTGATAATATTTTCAGATGACACAAAAATTGGGGGAGTGGTAAATAATGTAGAGGAAAAGTCACCAATACAGAGCAATCTGGATTGCTTGATAAACTGGATGCAAGCAAACAATATGTGTTTTAATATGGCTAAATGGATACATTTAAGAACAGAGAACATAGGCCATGCTTACAGGATGGGGGACTGTATTCTGAAAAGCAGTGACTCTGAAAGATTTGAGGGTCATGAGGGATGATCAGCTGAACATGAACTCCCAGTCCAACGCTGTGCCCAAAAGGGCTAATGCGTTCCTTGGATGAATAAACAGGGGAATCTCAAATAGGGGTAGAGAGGTTATTTTCTCTCTGTATTTGGCACTGGTGTGACCACTCCTGGAATTCTGTGTCCAGTTCTGGTGTCTGCAATTCAAGAAATATGTTGAAAAGTTGGAGAGGGTTCAGAGAAGTGTCACGAGAATGATTAAAGAATTGAAACTGTGCCTTATAGTGTTCGGCCTTGTCTACACTGGCAAGTTTCTGCACAGTAAAGCAGCTTTCTGTGGTGTAACTCCTGAGGTGTACACACTGCCAAGGCACTTAGTGCGCAGAAACTGCACAGTTGCAGCACTATAAAAAAACAACCCCAACAAGAGGCATACAGCTTTCTGCGCCAGTGCTGCAGCGCCAGTGTAGACACCGTGGTAGATTACAGCACTGTCATTGGCCTCCGGGAGGTGTCCCACAATGCTGTGATTTGAACTCCACTGCCCTGCCCTCGGGTGACCAACCGTGAGCCCCACCTCTTAAATTCCTTGGGAATTTTGAATGTCCCCTTCCTGTTTGCTTGATGACACATGCAGTGGTCTCAGTGCATCTTTCCAGGTGACCGTGCCTGCTTCACACACCAGATGATCCCCCGCTTGGAGCAATGCCGAGCTGCTGGACCTCATCAGCATTTAGGGAGAGGAGGCTGTCCAGTCCCAGGAATTATGTTATCTATGGACAGATTTCATGATGCATGACAGAAAGGGGCCATGACCAGTACAGTGCAGTGCAGGGTCAAAGTGAAGGAGCTGCGGAACGCCTACACAAGGCACAGGAGGCAAACCACCGCTCCGGTGCTGCGCCCACGAGTTGCCAGTTCTACAAAGATCTGGAGTGGATGCTTTGGTGGCTCGCGTGCCAGTCGAGAGTGGACTGAGCCAGGAAGAGGAAATCTTGGATGAGGATGTGGAGTGGGAGGGGGACCCAGAGACAGAGGACGACTCAGAGGTCAGAGATGCATGCAGCCAGGAGCTCTTCTCTACCCTGGAGAAGGCCAGCCAGTCACAGCTGTCAGATCTTGGCAAAGCACAAACAGGAGAGGAGGCCCCTGGTAGAGGGTCTCTCAGGATCACAATGGGCATTTTGACTTCCCCTACGGTGATTTTCTGGTCCAGGAAGAAAGTCCCTGGTTGCAGCTTCCTAAACAGGGCAGTGTTCCAAAAGATGTATGCGTCATGCACCTTTCCAGACCAGCCTGCATTAATGTCCGTGAAACACCCACGGTGATCCACAAGCACTTGGAGAACCATAGAGAAATACGCCTTCCAATTAATGTATCGGTGGCAGGGTGGTCTGGTGCCAAAATTGAAATGTGTGTGCCATCTATTGCCCCTCCACAGTTAGGAAAGCCCATTTTTGCAAAGCCATCCTCAATGTCACACATGTTGCCCAGAGTCACGGTCTTTCAGGGCAGGATGTGATTAATGGCCCTGCCCACTTCCGTCAACATGAGTCCAAAGGTCAACTTTCCCACTCCGAACTGGTTAGCGACTGATCGGTAGCTGTCTGGAGTAGCCAGCTTCCACAGTGCAATTGCCACGTGCTTCTCCAACAACAGAGCAGCTCTCATTTTCGTGTCCTTGCACCGCAGGGCTGGGGCGAGCTCATCACACAGTTCCATGGATGTGGCTTTCCTCATCTGAAAGTTCTGCAGCCACTCCTCATCATCCCAGACGTGCATCACGATGTGATTCCCACCACTCAGTGCTTGTTTCCCGAGCCCAAAAGCGGCGCTCCACTGTGGTCACCGCCTCCATGAATGCCACAAGCAATCTCATGTCGTAGCTACAACATGTGGCGAGATCAATGTAGAACTCTTGCCTTTGTAGTTTAAGGAATAACTCCACTGTAACTCGTGATGTGTTAGTCAGAGCAAGCAGCATATTGGTCAACAGTGCGGGATCCATTCCTGCAGACCGAAGAGGCAGAGCGCGCAGTACACAAACCGTTGAAAGATGGCGCCGAATGTGGACAGAAGCACAGGGATTGCTGGGATGCGAAGCAATGCGTCATAGGGCATTGGGACAGAACCCAGGATTCCTGTGACCACCTCCGCCTTCCCACATTTCTTAGTGGCAGAAGAGGAAGAGATGCTCTGTGGGATAGCTGCCGAGAGTACACTGCTCCAAATACCGCTACAAGTGCCGCAAGTGTGAACATGCTATTGCGCAGGCAGCTGACAGTGTGAACACACAACAGCAGTTTCCCTTCAGTGCTCTCTGAGTGGCGAAGTAGCTCTGCCAGTGTAGACATACCCTTAGACTCAGGAAGATCAACCAGTTCCGTTTAACAAAGAGAAGATTAAGGGGTGACTTGATTATAGTCTTTAAGTACCTCCATGGGGAACAAATATTAGAAAATGGGCTCTTCAGTCTAGCAGACAAAGACTTAACATAATCCAATTGCTGGAAGTTGAAACTATACAAATTCAGACCGGGAAATAAGGTGTACATTTTTAACAATCAAGGTAATTAACCATTGGAACAATTTACCAAGGGTTGAAGTGTTTTTTCATCAGTGGCAATTTTTATATCAAGATGGGATGTTGTTCTAAAACATATGCTCTTGTTCAAACAGGAATAAATTCAGAGAAGTTCAATGGCCTGTGTTATGCAGGAAATCAGACTAGATGATCACAGTAGTCCCTTCCAGCCTGAGAATCTATGAATCTAAGGAAATGGGGCTTAAGCACCTAACTCCCGTTAAAAGTCAATAGGAGTTAGGTGTACTTTTGAAATCAAGCCCATATTCTTTATTCTACGATTCCATACCAATATTCATCTACTTATGCATTCTTATTCTTAGAAAATGTATACTTGGCTTCCAGATATAGATCACATTAAGTACCATTGGTGGGGTATAGATTTCCATATTGTTTTAATTCAGCTCTGGTGTTCCTACAGATATTAGATAATAACTTCATTGTAACTCTCTTGTGCACTTGCAAATCCTCTGACTTCAGATAAGAAGAAATAAGTGCAGGTTGTGAAAATCAAACTTGAATTAGCTGGGGCCGAAGCTAAAGGAAACTCGAACTTTCTATTCCACGCTGTTCATCTTGACACAGCCAATGCATTTTGAGCCATATGGCTCTGGCAGTACTTTCCAGTAACCTTTTTTTTTCTCTTTCTCTATTTCAACCCTACAGATTATAAGAAAGCAAAAAAGTAAAGCTGAGCAGGCGGAGGCTGATTTTAATTGGCCACAGTCCAGAAGCAGCGGTCTGGCATCTGTTGCTGTTTCAGATCAGAGCATGCTGACTTTTCCGGGCAGTCGCAGGGGATCCTACACATTATGGGTGAGTGACCAAACTCAACCATCTAAATTTTCTGCTGCAAGAAATTGGAAAATAGAGATAGTAGAGATGGGCATGCTGACTAGAATGTTAAATGCAAATATACAAAGCATGAGCATTAAATCCAAAGAGTAAATGTTGTTTGCATACCACAATCTGAGGATCAGGTGAGATGTAGGGCCCTTGGTCATTCCTGTCACACTACCTCTCTCTTCCAACACGCTGTATGCCAGCTTTATGTCAGTGAAGCTTTCCTCACTGCAAGAGAAATGTTCTCTTGGCCATTTTTGTTAAGTTTTCATCCACTTGGCACCGCTGTAGCAGACCACAGAATGCAGCCCAGGGAGTTTTTTTCATTATCATCAATCATCACAGCAAACAGTGGGGGAACAGATGATGTTGTGCCTGGACGGTAAATGTTGAGGATCATTTTGAAAATCCCCACTCTGGCACGGCTGCCCCTACTTTTCTTTCACAGGGCGAACAGGGACTGTGTTCTAGAGCAGTGGTTCTCAAAGCCGGTCTGCCGCTTGTTCAGGGAAATCCCCTGGCGGGCCGGGCTGGTTTCTTTACCTGCCGTGTCCGCAGGTTCGGCTGATTGCGGCTCCCACTGGCCGCAGTTCACCGCTCCAGGCCAATGGGAGCTGCGGGAAGGACAGCCAGCACATTCCTCGGCCCGCGCCACTTCCCGCAGCCCCCATTGGCCTGGAGCGGCGAACTGCAGCCACTGGGAGCTGCGATCGGCTGAAACTGTGGACGCGGCAGGTAAACAGGTAAACAAACCGGCCTGGCCCGCCAGGGGCTTTCTCTGAACAAATGGTGGGCCTAGTTTGAGAACCACTGTTCTAGAGAATCCTCTGTACTGAGAGAAATGAATAAGTTTCAAGCTAGTCTTTTCCAATATATATACTACTACTTTGTCCACTGAAGTCAATAGGATCCTTTCCAGTTATTCCACTGTGCTCGGGATCAGCCATACAAGGGGTGGGTGGTGATTTAAACCGTAATATCGGGACTCCCTCTACACACACTGAGGTGTGCAAAAAGATACAGACACAACTTTGTGCCTACATTTTTTTCATTGCAGACCTTGAGCCTCTTTTTTTTGCAGTCAAGTATCAGGGGGTAGCCGTGTTAGTCTGTATCTACAAAAACAACAAGGAGTCTGGTGGCACCTTAAAGACTAACAGATTTATTTGGGCATAAGCTTTCGTGAGTTAAAACCTCACTTCTTCGGATGC